CCCCAAAACCCCAAAACCCCAAAACCCCAAAACCCCGAATAACAAGGCAGGGATTGTAATAATAAAAAGATGGTTTTGAGAAATTTATTTCAGTGATTAAAATTGGGTATTTCGAAGGTTGTGAGTGGATGGAAGTGGGCAATAATCAAAGGAAGTAGGAGTGATAGGGAAGTTGATGAGTATATTAATAAGGATATTGAAGAGTCTATTCAGAAATCGTATTTGAAGTATATAAAGATGGTTTGTTGGCTTTTTATCATCCTTCTGACAGTTGTTGTTATTTTCCACTACCCAGGTAAGTTATGGATCAACTAATTATATAGATCTCTCAGAAAGTAATATGAGTACAAAAAATCAAGCATCCCTAAACTCAGGGGTGTTGATTTTGATATTATTGGCTCTTATTATTGCTCTTGAGTTCAAACCCATTTATATTCTCTATTTCGTGCCAATTCTCATTTGGTCTGGATCTTATCTATGAACTCTTTTGACATTGAAGAAAGACTACTATCGACTTGATGAATATCATATTTCTAGCTGATGCCTAAGTCATATGCTAATTATCCTAGTACCTCATCAATGGAAATCCAGCTCTTTCGTCCATGCTGCTTCATTGCTATATATGCTTTATAATATATGGGATACTTATGGAGTGACTAACTCGGATATGATCGCTGCCATTCTGTTTTCGTGACTATGGTTCACAATATCTAGTTATCTACTTATAATAAGGACTAGGAGTCTCTATTCTGAAATTCTACGAAATAAGAAGCTTATAAATGAAATGAAGAAAGTTATTCAAATTCTTCCTTTCGGAGTAGTAATTTGGCCCGCAAAAGCTGATGAAAAATGGTTCACAAACAGAGAGTTTACTAGCAAGTATGCTAAAATTAGAAATGACCTAAAGGAACTCGAAGATATTGACATCTCATTTGTTCAGAATGACAAACAAAATAACATATCGCCTAAGTTATCAACTTTTCTAAAATCTCAGCAGACATTATTAAAGAACAAAGAATCTTATTGTGAACAAGATATCAAAATTGATTGAAACTTGGAAAGAGGAAATATGATAGTTGAGAATCAAGATAATTCTTTAGAAAGAACTTGTAGTATTAAAACTCTTATGGTTGAATGGGAAGGAGTCGAGTCGTACATGCACTGCTTCATCGATAACACTGATGTCATAAAACTGGAAGAAGCCAAGAATAACATAAAATGTCAGAAAATCATGTTTGCCAGTGCTTCACATGAGTTCAGGACTCCTCTCAATTCGATCATGAACTCAATCGATATTCTGAAGGCATCTTTTTAGAATCATCTTCGGAATCGTACAGCCTTATATTTCAAGACTGAACCCAGAGCAGAAGCAAGAAGTGGACCTGAATCTGCTAACTGTGGAGAAGTTCCTGAAGATTGGCAAGAACTCGTCGATGCTGCTTTTGACTCTGATCGAAGACGTGTTGAATCTATCAAAGATGGAGGCAGGCACTTTCACGATTAAGAAAGAATTGTTCGGAGTCAAAGAAATTCTTGATGAAATTTATAGCATTTTCAACATGCAGTGCGAGCAGAGAAAGTTGAAGTTAAAGCTTGAAGTATCCGAAGTAGTTAAAGCTTTGGTGATAAACTCAGACAGAGCAAGGATCAAGCAAGTATTGATGAACTTGATCTCAAATTCTTTGAAATTTACTTTCAAAGGATCGATTACTATTTGATGTAGAGTCAACCAATGTTCGAGTTCCAAATTTGCAGAATTCATTGTGCGAGATACAGGAGTTGGAATCAGAAATGAAGATCAAGAGAAGCTATTTCAACTCTTCAGCATGGTTTCAAAATCAAAGAGTCTAAACCCAAACGGAACTGGGATAGGACTTACTGTAAGCAAGAGATACGTAGAAACTATGGGAGGAAAAATTCATCTAAAATCAGTGTACAAGAAAGGAACTGATGTAATATTCACTATTCCAATTGATGAAAAATCTAAAACCAGAAATCGCTTGCCAATCCCTGCTCATCCATCACAGTAAGTTAAATCGACTCTAAATCTCAATATGTATTATATTCCTCTCCAAAAATATATCGTGTTATTTAACTAATAACTATAGCAATTACAGTGAAGAAGAGAGTTCCTTCTTTGAAGAAGGGCATAAAATGCTAGTATTCTCCAGAGATATGTCCTTATGATCCCGTGGAAAATTCATTAAAGCCAGATCATCTATCTAACCTACTGCCTTAACGATGATGTATTTCATAACTTGGTGTAAATTCTCTATTTAAAATTAACTCTAAGGGGTTTTGGGGTTTTGGGGTTTTGGGGTTTTGGGG